TGTGTGTGTGTGTATTTGTGCGTACGTGTGTGTGTGCATGTGTGTGCATGTGTGTGCATGTGTGTGTGTGTGTGTGTACTCAACTAGAGCATCCTGTGTGTCTGTTTTTCTTTCTCAGACACAGACGAATGCTCAATAGAGAACGGAGGATGCGAACAGGAGTGCTTCAACAACGAGGGCAGTTACCTTTGCTCCTGTGTTCCCGGGTATATTCCAGACGGCTCAAACTGCACGGGTGAGTTTTTCTTTTTTGTCTTACTCACATCCACACACTCAAGCACACACAGTTTTACATACACCTCAAATGTACTCACATACAGACATGCACACACACTAACACACACGTGCAGGCGCACACACACACACACACACACACACACACACACACACACACACATCCCGGGCAGAAGGACCCTTGAACAAAAATTTTACTAGGGTGACAAAAGCATTAAATAGCAAAAATACATCCTTTTTACTATGGGCTACACGACTACGACAGCAAATGATCTAGACTGCTTCTTTTTTGTCATTATTTTTTTTTGCTGCGTTTTGGTTTCCAGGTCTTCAGGTTTAAAAAATATGCTATTGATTACTATTACCATTTTTATAGTAAAAATAAATAATTATTATGCCATCATTGCAAACTCACCAGGTGAGGCGGCCGCCCGGCTGGCCATAGCAGCGGTAAAGGTCGGAGAGAGGCCACTCCTGGAGCGAGGAGAGCTGTTGGGCGTAGACCGGGGAGAGGTAGGGTGGTTCTGGGGACAGGAGGGGCACTGCTTTGTTGTTAATGTTGTTGCAGCTGTAGTTGTTGATTGTGTGGTGGTTGTTGGTGTTGGTGTTACTATTGATAGTTTTGACGCTGATGTTCCTTGTGGTTTTTTAGTGTAAATATTGAGGTTGGTAGTGATGCGGTTATGGTTGGTGTTGCTGTTTGTGGTTTTAGTTGTTGATGATGTGGCCATTGGTGATTTCCCGGCTGAGGTGCTTATTGGTGTAAAGTTGTGGAGGATGTTGGTGTTGATGTTCTTATTGGTATTGTTGTTGGTGGTGGCGGTGCTGATGGTTTTTTTTTACCCTGCCCAATTCTATCATCTGGCGCTTGGTCTGGGGATGTCACAGGCTCTGTTTTTGTTTTTGTAAGTGTTTTACGGCGCTCGCAACTGCATAAGGTCATATGAGCGCGCGGGACACATTGCACTTTTTCAGTTGGTAGGAAATTTTGAATTTTGCCCGGGTGGCGGCCGAAGCCTACTCTTATTGATTTTAGACCACCAAGTTGCGCACGTTAAAGATCCGTTGGTGGTCTAAAATCGATATGAGTAGGCTTCGGCCTCCGAGATTTTTCGCCCTTGTCCGAGAAGGCTAGGTGTAGATCTTTTCCTACCAGAAGATCAGGGGTGTGGCTGAAAGACAGCAGTAAGAAGAAGCCAAGGGGTAGCAGTAGAAAGGCTGTGGAAAGAATCAGGAGCCCAGAGGAGGGGGGCAAAGGAGATGAGGGAGTGGGGGAAGAAAGAGGAGACGAAAGAAGACGACAGAACATTGTTAGAGATCAGGAAAGGAGGTGAAAGGAGACACATTTAGAGAAGAAAATTTTTCGGTCACTACCCGGATACGAACCCGGGACCTTTGAA